TGATTTGGGAAGAACTTTTTGACTTTTTTGACTTTTTTTTATGAGAGAGGAGTGTAATGATTATGGGTTAGATTTGATATTTTATTTTTTGTGGCTAAAATAATCTATTTTATTTTTTGTGACTATTTTAGCCCTTAACTCACCAAAATTAACTTCTCAAGATAAAATTGACTGCTTAGGTTTTTTTTTTTAAATTTAATTTTATTTATTGGGCTGTGTTGGTTTGTTTTTTTTTTTTTTGTTTTTTTTAAAGGTAGTTATGTGTAGGGGTGTGCCAAAAAACTAGACATCCTGCACCAATTCATCGTACAAAATTATATGAAATTAACAAATTTTAACCAATAGTCTAACTGATTAATCAATTAAATTGGACTGGTTGAGTGATAAAATTGACTAATCAATTAAGCTGTTGGTTAAATTTTGTTAATTTCATATAATTTTATACGATGAATTGGTGCAGAATATCCAATTTTTTTGACACATCCCTACACATAATCACCCTTAAACAAAAAAACACAAAACAAAACAAAACAAAAAAAACTAACAACTAACATAGCCAAAAAAAAAAGGCATTTGAGGCCTCTAGCACTATGCATGTTATTTTAATAACTTTTTGATTTTTTGATTAAAATATGAGGTAAAAAAATTATTATATTTAGATTGACTTTTTGATTTTTTACGAAAAAATGTATAAAAAGTAAGAAAAAAATGAAATTTTTGACTTTTTAACATAAATTGTTGGGTTTTTAATTTTTTTAATAATTTTTTAACTTTTACACTAAAACAATGAGTTGCCAAACGAATTCACATCACATCCCTATTTTTTTATACATTTTTTCATAATAAATAAAAAATTATAAGACATACTCAAAATAACTTTAATTGAAACAAATAGCGAGTTAAGTAACACAGTCTATGGAAAGACATTAGGGCACTTGATTCACTTAAGAGGGCAGTCATTGTGCGGATCCCACTCTGCTGTGAAAGACTCTCTGCATGATGAGGGACCCACTGCTCTCTTTTTAACCATTCTCTTGTGAGAGGTTTGGGTATTCTGTGCAGGTAGTGCTTCTGTCAAGTGATACATACATTTATGATTTTCTCACCAACTCAAAATTTCTCTCCCAAGAGCCTCTTGTCTGATAACCAGTTGGGAAGAGAGGAAATTCCATATGCACAGCATTACATGTTTGGTTCTTGTAATATATAGAACTTGACAATACAATCCACAAGCTAAAATGTATTTAAAGGGCCAATCATCACAGAACTAGGGGTCTTAGTTATCAGTATGAGCATATCTAAGATAAATAACATCAACAACGACAACAACTTAGAACTTTATCTAAACTAAAGCCTACAGTTGAATCTGTCGTACTCTGTCCTCACATGACTTCTGGTGATATCCTTCACGGTAAGGCAGCCAGATAGGGCCATGGTGGGCTCCAACTCATCCTTCAGCATTTCAATGACTCGTCGCACCCCATTTTCACCCTTTGCTGCTAATCCATAGAGGACTGGCCTTCCAATCTTCAGCAGTATAAATGACTTTGCTGCTAATCCATAGAGGACTGGCCTTCCAATCTTCAGCAGTGTAAATGAAATCGCAAAATTAGGAATCGGAAAAGAGGTTTGACCTCATCAGAGTTTGCATTGAAATCCTTCCGAGCAAATTGATGCACAAAAAAAATTGCATGCTATTCCACTAAAACACACTACAAAAAGGCACAGAATTTCAAATGGCCAGAGTTTACCATAACAGCTTGTGCACCAAGAGCTAATGCCTTGAAAATATCTGTACCATGCCTCACTCCTCCATCAATGAGAACAGGAATTTTTCCTCCTACAGCACGAACCACCTTCAACCCACAATATAATGCTTGCTTCAAAAAAACAGAAGGAAAAGAAGTGTGCCTAACAGAAATAAATTGGCAAGACGATGCAGCAATATTGCTTGTTTTCAAATTCTCATAGGTTCCAGGAAAAGAAAAATGCTCAAGACCCGTACCCCTAAATTTACCCCCAATGACGTGCACTGTTGCAGTAAGAACTACTACACGTTTAATGAAATATAATCTATTTAAATGCATTCCCACTTTCGTTGAATTTTCTAATATTCAAATTCAACATGCAAAAGCACATAAAGTATTTTCTCTGTAAGTTCAGTTGTCCACAATATGCTATGGCCCACTTTCCAGATCTTCTGCAGCCGAACTCCTACTTTTCAAGATTTTAATTCATTATATTTGATCCTTGTATCATAAGAAGAACACCAAGGGAAAATATATGGAAAAAAAAAGAAGTTAAAAGTGCTTTGGAAGAAAAGTATACTATGTTCCAAGACATGACTAGTTAGGGTATTAGTGTTTTATAGTGTGCACACATGATATGCACTTGAGAACCCACAAATATCTTATGTTATTAAGTGTTATAGACGCTTCACAACATTACCAATAATTAAAGGGAAAGCAAAAAAGTCAAATTAGGAAAATATACGAGGGGAGATGGATTCTAAACACAATATAGATCCAACATAAATTCTATGCAAATCCGCCATGTCCCACATGATATTGTTACTATAAAATCATAGAAGGGCATATATTTGAATTCAATTTGTTGGCATATCTGCATAGGACAAAATCACGTGTGAAGAGAAGAGACTGAAAGATACCTCTTCCAGAACAGTGATAGTGGCTGGAGAATAATCCAGTTGGCGAGCTCCGTGATTAGAGTCAACAATCCCAGCAACCCCTACTTCCATAGCTTTTATTGCTGCCAAGAGTAGCATACCAGATCAACAGCAATTTTTGTTTCTCACAAATAAACATGAGTAGAAAACAAGAAATATTCAAGACCTATGAAACAAGAAAATTTTTAATGGGTTTGCTAAAGCTCGTATTATCCAAAAATATAGGGGTCCAATATAGCTATTCCTTTTAGAAATAAACATAAAAACAAGAAATTCTTCAAATTTAATGGTTTTTTGTTTTGTGGCCCTTACATTGATTTTGAAAAAAAAAAAAAAAAAAAATTTGACTGATTTTTCAGCTCCTGTGAAGAGGTTCTCTCATTTATAAAGTCAAAAAGAAAAATTAGAGAGATACAAACATCTAAACAGAGTCATGAGCTTACCATCCTCAGCCGTCAGGACCCCTTTGACTAGAATTGGTAAACTAGTGACAGACCTTAACCAATCTATGTCCTGCAAAGTTTTGAGTAAGATGTATCATAAAGGAAATCAATTTATGACCTTGATGACTTTTGTATTTACCATCCAAAAAATCAATTATTTTAAATATGCAACCAGACCAACAGAAATATTTTTGGCGGTGGCTTTCAGCTCCATCAACTGTGTGAACTTGTGAGAGACCTCAAATGACTAAAACACAGGCAAATTTATGCCAATTTGGTCCCTATTGTTCCAAATGATTAAAACAAAAACAAATTATTGTAGTAGCCCCTATAATTCCAATTGATAACTGTAGACTATTTTTGACAAAAATGGGACCAAATTGACACAACGGGCAAACTACATGGACCACCTGTGTAATTAATTTTTTGTTCATTTTTCCATTTTGCCTATGAAGAATGGGCACATGAAGAGCATGTGGGCTATCTTCTGTCAAAAAATCTTGACCATCATTACCAACTGGACCAATTAGATGCAAAATGGAAAATTAAAAGGTAAATTTGTTGCAATTGAAACTACATGGATTAAATTGTCACAAGGTGTAAACTATAGGGACTAGTATTGTAATTGTCCCTAAAACATATAACTACTACCATAACATTCATATATAGATATATATATAGCAGTACAATTAAAACAGCTTTTCAAATAATGTTTCTAAGCAAAGGAAATGTTTGGCTCAAGAGTAACACCTTCAACAAGAGAAGGATTAAGCGTCTCTGCTACAAAAGCTGCAAACTTTGAGCCGTTATCCTGCAAAATGAGTAATCAATGTTTGAGTTGTAAATCTTGTATCAGACTGATTACAGTTAGTATTAGAGAAATATGCAACCATGTATCATACAACTAACACAAAAAACAAACTAATACACTGTCTGCAAGCATGTTTAAATGCATATATTAGGAAACAAATAACTCACCAAAACTGCTTCAGTTGACAAGAGACCTTCTAAGTTCTTCGGCTGAGGCGCAATCATTCTGAACAAGTGATTGTGTTTGGATCATTAACGCATGGGGAAAAGTTCATTTAATTATAGATAATAAATATCAGTGAATTTCCAAATATTGGAGGGAGAAAATTATTCATTAATGTTAAGAACATTGCAGGTATTAGTAGCGGAAATTATATGAAAGAGAAGGAAATGAAATTTCACTTGTTCTTAATGTCTTCTTCCCTTCGACCAAGCCTAGGAGTATCAACAGTAAGCATAATAGCCTTGAACCCATTTCTTTCGGCTCTTTGCACTAACACAGCTGTTACATCCCTTCTTTTACATACCTATGAACAGAGGATTACCAAACTGTGAATCCTAAAGAACGATAAAGATTCCTATGAAGAAACTTAATTTTACTAGAGCTGAAGAGAGTAGAATACATATGTTTGAAAAAAGCGAATGGCATTGCAACTGGAAGCAACCTCCTCCACGGTGCAGTCAGCCGCAAAGGACATTGCCTTTAATGAGGGACAGCTCAGCAATCAATGATGCAAAGGAAAAAAGAATTAGGGTATGAGAGTATCAATACCATGATGGTGTTACATGCAGCAGCTGCTCTGGCTGTTGCAACCTCTCCTGATAAAAAATATTTAAAAAAAAATTAAAAAATTCAAAGCTGAAATCATAAGTACACATAAATTTCACTCAAAAGCTCTTCTAAATGAAATTAGACCTTCAGGATGAGCCAACTTATGCGTTCCAGTTGGAGCAATCATGATTGGTGCCGAAGTTGGGTAACCCAATATAGTGGTTGACATATCTATTCTGCTCACATCTACAAGAACTCTTGGCCGAAAACTGAGAAAATCCCCAAAAAAAATAAAAAATAAATAAAAATTGGCGTAAGGTGGTGTCCCTGTTCACTAATAAGAATAAGAGGTGTAACAACACTTAACGTGATTCTACGGAACGCTTCCATGTTCTCTCTTAGCGTGTGTTGGTCCTCAGCTCCCCCATTGTAGAAGTCAAAGTACATCTTCGGAAGAGCTCGCCTTGCCAGTTCCTGGAATTCATTCGCATTGATCGGTTCTGATGCCCTTTTTCCTTAAAACACAGCCCCCATTAGCTGACTCTAACATTCCAGTAATCAGTAACCCAGTCCATCGTACAATTATTTAAAAATCGATTAATTGAATACTAAACTTGAGTTGAGAGTCTTAATGGAGAGAAAGTCAATATGGTCGCCAAACTTTGCAAATCCTTCCCATCATTTCCAAATTTTCCATCCATTTGTAGGTTTAGTATAATTACTTGAGATTGTATTTGGATAATGAATTTGGGTAGGAATTTGAAAAGAGAGAAGGAAAATGTGTGTGACAGATTGGTAAAATATAGCTATATTTCATTCACATTTCACCCGTACTTTCCTTTTACCTTTCCAAATCGATGATCCAAATACATATTTCATCCACATTTCACATACTTTTCCCCTTCTCTTTCCAAATTCCTACCCCTGTCATGATCCAAACAAAGCCTAAGTATATCAAGTCTTTAGAATAAACCGATTACTACAGAGAGCCGCTATTCTCACCCCACTTTGCCCCAAATACACTTCCTTCTTTGTCATTTATTATACATAGTTACATTAATACCCTTTCATACAAAATAAACACCCTGAAAAAATCATTAATACCCTTTCATGCAAAATAAACTCCCTGAAAAAATCAAAATTCCAAGGGTATTAATTTATTTGGAGCAAATAAGTGAGTGTGTTTAGAAAAAAGTGAAATGGGAATAGCGGCTTCCATACTATATTAGACCATTACATACTCACAAGATTTCAACATGTTATTTGGATGCAGTGTGTAAATAATTCTTCAATTTAAAAAATAAAAGAATTACACATACCAGTACCTGGCAATTCAAAAAATCTCAAAATAAAATATATAAAAGGAAAATTTTTTTTTAAAAAAATCTACAACTATATAAGCATGAATCTGTTTAAAATCTCCATTTATGGGAAAGAGATTAGTACCAAACTAAAAGGGCTTCAAATTGAAAATGAAAAAGGTAATAATTAAAATAGAAAAAATTGACCCAATTCAATAGAATTGAACTACAAGCTTATAATCATATAAAAACAGCAGATCGTTTGATGATTAGATGAGTATATTAACTAAGTTAATCTTGGTACTAATCTGCAAACAATTTGAACAATTTCAATGGAAAATCTGCACTGGTTTGTCTGAATTCCAAGTAAATAATTGCTATGTCTATACAAATAAATACATGATTTTGTGAGGGGAATTGAAATTAGTACCTGAAGGTGTTGATTGAAAAGAACCGATCGTGAGTCAAATCAGAGTAAAAACACTGCAAAAAAAGACAGAGAGACAGAGGGCTCGCCAGAAAGCAGAGGTGGAGTGGAGGTAGTTCTCAGTACTATGCTATATAAAATACAGCCTAATCCACTAAAATCGACTCATGTTAATTGGTCCAGCATTAATTTGAATTGTGATTTAAAATTTAAATTTTGTGTTTTAATAAAGGACTATTTTAGGAAGATGATTATAATCAACTTTTTGAAATAACTTTTCTGTGAGAGAGGAAGTGAGTTATAATCTAGGTAGTGGATTATAACCCACTTCTCAAAATAGGCCAAAATATCAAAATAAAAATAAATACGAGAGATTTAAATTTGTTATAAATTAATATTATATATATATATGAAAATTATTATATAAAATTAATTAGTATTATATATTTATATATATAAAATATTATATATTATATAATATTCTTTAATCAATTAATAAATTAAAATGATACGATTTAATTATTTATTAATTTTTTATTCACAATTCAATTATAATTTTACTTCAAACAGTATCAAATCGCACATGCATGAAACTATCGTTTTGTAGATGGATTGGCTTTGGTTGCATTGGCCCCATTTGGTAGAGTTATAAGAAAGTGATTATAGATTAACAGATTATTGTATTATTAGCAACAACATGATCCCACTAAAAAATATATGAGAACCTTTCTTGAATATGAATGAGAAATGATTATTTTGAAAATATGGTTAAAAATTAATTTTTGATTTGTAATTTATTTTGAATTATATTATTTTTTATATATTTTTAAAAAAAAATCAAAAAATCAACTTTTAACCAACTTCCTAAATTAATCCAAAATACTACAATGTCACTGACAAGAAAAAAAATTGTTTAATAATTGATTTAAAATATTTATATTTACATTTATTACTATCAATTGACTCACGCTATTATAAATATTTCATAATTAATGGGTTTGTATCTCATTAAATTTTACAACTTTTTGGTGGGAAGACATTTTTTATTTTTAATATTTTTTATTATTTCTCATCAAATTTATGAATCAAACATGAGGAAGAAATATTTTTATCCTCCTTTCCCACCAATTACTTCATCCATATATTTTACAAGATGGGTTCTATAATATTTTAAAGTGCCAATCATCACAGAACTAGGTCTTAGTCATCAGTATGAGCATGTCTAAGATAAATAACATCAGCAACGACAACTTCGAACTTTATCTAAACTAGAGCCTACAGTTGAATCTGTCGTACTCTGTCCTCACATGACTTCTGGTGACATCCTTCACGGTAGGGCAGCCAGACAGGGCCATGGTGAGCTCCAACTCATCCTTCAGCATTTCAATGACTCGTCGCACCCCATATTCACCCTTCGCTGCTAATCCATAGAGGACTGGCCTTCCAATCTTCAGCAGTGTAAATGAAATCGCAAAATTAGGAATCGGAAAAGTAGTTTGGCCTCATTAGAGTTTGCATTGAAATCCTTCCGAACAAATTGACGCACAAAAAAAATTGCATGCTATTCCACTAAAACACACTACAAAAAGGCACAGAATTTCAAAAATACATGGCCAGAGTTTACCATAACAGCTTGTGCACCAAGAGCTAATGCCTTGAAAATATCTGTACCACGCCTCACTCCTCCATCACAGAGAACAGGAATTTTTCCTCCGACAGCACGAACCACCTGCAACCCACAATATAATGCTTGCTTCAAAAAGGCAGAAAGAACAGAAGTGGGCCCAACAGAAATAAATTGGCAAGACCATGCAGCAATATTGCTTGTTTTCAAATTTTCATAGGTTCCAGCCTCCAGGAAAAGGAAAATGCTCAAGACTTGTACCCCTAAATTTACCCCCAATGACGTGCACTGTTGCAGTAAGAACTACTACATGTTTAATGAAATATAATCTATTGAAATGCATTCCCACTTTCCTTGAATTTTCTAATATTCAAATTCAACATGTAAAAGAACATAGAAAGTATTCTCTCTATAAGTTCAGTTGTCCATGATATGCTATGGCCCACTTTCCAGATCTTCTGCAGCCAAACTCCTACATTTCATATTTGATGCTTGTATCATAAGAAGAACACCAAGGGAAAATATATGGGGAAAAAAAAAGTAAGAAGTGCTTTGGAAGAAAAGTATACTATGTTCCAAGACAGGACTAGTTAGGGTATTAGTGTTTTCCGGTTACCACAGTGTGCACACACGATATGCATTTGAGAACCCACAAATATCTTATGTTATTAAGTGTTATAGATGCTTCACAACATTACCAATAATTAAAGGGAAAGCAAAATAGTCAAATTAGGAAAATATACGAGGGGAGAGGATTCTAAACACAATATAGATCCAACATAAATTCTATGCAAATCCGCCATGTCCCACGCGATATTGTTACTATAAAATCATAGAAGGGCATATATTTGAATTCAATTTGTTGGCATATCTGCATAGGACAACATCAAGTATGACTAGAAGAGACTGAAAGATACCTCTTCCAGAACAGTGATAGTGGCTGGAGAATAATCCAGCTGGCGAGCTCCGTGGTTAGAGACAACAATCCCAGCAACCCCTACTTCCATAGCTTTTATTGCTGCCAAGAGTAGCATACCAGATCATCAGCAATTTTTGTTTCTCACAAATAAACATGAGTAGAAAGAAGAAATATTCAAGACCAATGAAACAAGAAAATGTTAAATGGGTTTGCTAAAGCGCATATTATTCAAAAATATAAGGGTCCTATATAGCTATTCCTTCTAGAAATAAACATAAAAACAAGAAATTCTTCAAATTAAATGGTTTTTTGTTTTGTGGCCCTTATATTGATTCTGAAAGAAAGAAAAAAAAAACTTTGATTGATTTTTCAGCTCCTGTGAAGAGGTTCTCTCATTTATAAAGTCAAAAAGAAAAATTAGAGAGATACAAACATCTAAACAGAGTCATGAGCTTACCATCCTCAGCCGTCAGGACCCCTTTGACTAGAATTGGCAAACTAGTGACAGACCTTAACCAGTCTATGTCCTGCAAAGTTTTGAGTAAGATTTAACATAAAGGAAATCAATTTATGACCTTCATGACTTCTGCATTTACCATCCAAAAAATCAATTATTTTAAATATGCAACCACACCAACAGAAATATTCTTGGCGGTGGCTTTCAGCTCCATCAACTGTGTGAACTTGTGAGAGACCTCAAATGACTAAAACACAGGCAAATTTATGCCAATTTGGTCCCTATAGTTCCAAATGACTAAAACACAAACAAATTATTGTAGTAGCCCCTATAATTCCAAGTGATAACTGTAGACTATTTTTAACAAAAATGGGACCAAATTGACACAATGGGCAAACTACATGGACCACCTGTGTAATTAAATTTCTGTTCATTTTTCCATTTTGCCTATGAAGAATTGGCACATGAAGAGCATGTGGGCTATCTTCTGTCAAAAAATCTTGACCATCATTACCAACTGGACCAATTAGATGCCAAATGGAAAATTAAAAGATAAAATTGTTGCAATTGAAACTACATAGATTAAATCGTCACGGGGGTGTAAACTATAGGGACTACTATTGCAATTTGTCCCTGAAACATATAACTACTACAACAATATTCATATATATATATATACAACAGCACAATTAACCCAGCTTTTCAAATGATGTTTCTAAGCAAAGGAAATGTTTGGCTCAAGAGTAACACCTTCAACAAAAGTTAACTGTGAAGTCAAATTATCAGTTAACACACATAGGGCATGTTTGATTGGGTGGATTAGAGCATGGGATTGGGATTATTAATCCGTGGGTCCAATTATCCTATGTTTGTTTTAACATTTTGGTTTAGGATTATTAATCCAATGGATAATTAATCCAACAAATTTGTAGGATTATTAGTAATGGGGTAGGGGTGGGATTATTAATCCAATGGATATTAATCCAATTGGATAGGGAATACCACACTAATTTAATACGATTATTAATACTTCACTATTAGTCTTGTGAATCAAACATGACCCTAGATTATTGCTCTATGGTTTATACCTTCCAACACCGAGAAGGATCATGCGTCTCTGCTGCAAAAGCTGCAAGCTTTGAGCCATTATCCTGCAAAATGAGTAATCAATGTTAGAGTTGTAAATCTTGTATCAGACTGGTTACAGTTAGTATCAGAGAATTATGCAACCACGTATCATACAACTAACACAAAAAACAAACAAATACATTGTCTGCTAGCATGTTTAAAAGCATATATTAACGAAACAAATAACTCACCGAAACTGCTTCAATTGACAAGAGACCTTCTAAGTTCTTCAACTGAGGCGCAATCATTCTGAACAAGTGATTGTGTTTGTATCATTAATGTGATGCGTGGAAAAAAGTTCATTTAATTATAGATAACAAATATCAGTGAAATTCCAAATATTGGAGGGAGAAAATTATTCATTAATGCGAAGGACATTGAAGGTATTAGTAGAGGAAATTATATGAAAGAGAAGGAAATGAAATTTCACTTGTTTTTAATGTCTGCTTCCCTTCGACCAATCCTAGGAGTATCAACAGTAAGCATAATAGCCTTGAACCCATTTCTTTCGGCTCTTTGCACTAACACAGCTGTTACATGCCGTCTTTTATATACCTATGAACAGAGGATTACCAAACTGTTACCAAACTGTGAATCCTAGAGAACGATAAAGATTCCTAATTTACTAGAGCTGAAGAGAGTAGAATACATATGTTTGAAAAAAGCGAATGGCATTGCAACTGGAAGCAACCTCCTCCACGGTGCAGTTAGCCGAAAAGGACATTGCCTGTAATGAGGGACAGCTCAGCAATCAACGATGCAAAGTAAAAAAGAATTAGAGTATGAGAGTACCAATACCATGATGGTGTTACATGCAGCTGCTGCTCTGGCTGTTGCAACCTCTCCTGA